TCGCACACCCACGCTCGTACTTACACGCTCGCACACCCACGCTCGTACTTACACGCACGCACACAGACGCTCGCACACAGACGCGCGGGCACACACACGCTCGTACTCACACGCACGCACACCCACGCGCGGGCACACACGCTCGCACACAGACGCGCGGGCACACACACGCACACACACGCTCGCACACACGCGCACGCACACCCACGCTCGCACACAGACGCGCGGGCACACCCACGCACACACACGCTCGTACTCACACGCTCGCACACAGACGCGCAGGCACACACACGCTCGCACACAGACGCACGGGCACACACACGCACACAGACGCGCGGGCACACACACGCACACACGCTCGCACACAGACGCGCACAGGCGCGCGGACACACGCACACACACACACGTACACAGACGCGCGGGCCCACACACGCACACACACACACACATACGCACGGGCACACACACACATACGCACGGGCACACACACGCTCGCACACACACTCGTACTCACACGCGCGGGCACACACAAGCACACACGCTCGTACTCACACACGCACACATACGCGCGGGCACACACGCGCACAGACGTACGCGCGGGCACACACACACACACGCACACACACGCTCGTACTTACACGCGCGGGCACACACACACACACACACGCACACACACGCTCGTACTTACACGCGCGGGCACACACACGCACACACACGCTCGTACTTACACGCGCGGGCACACACACGCTCGTACTTACACGCGCGGGCACCCCACGCCTCGAACTTACTAACGCGCGGCGGGCCGCCACAAACGGTCACACACACAGCTCACGCACACAGACGCGAAGGCGCACACCACGCTCAACACGCTTCTTGATACTATACGACTCATCACGGTGCGCGGTACAACGCTCTCACTCACACATCCGCTGATACTCACACAACCACGTTTTTACTCATACGACACTCACACGCGTGGCAGCCACACGCACACAACACGCTCGCACGCAGACGCGCGGGACAACACCGCACTACACCGCTCGATCACAACCGCACACGCGCTCGCACCTTCACACAACACGCATCACACACTTGGCTCGCACTCACACCCACGCACACACCGACTTCGTTACTACACCACAACACAACACGTCGTACTCACATGCATATACACGTCTCGCACACGACGGCGCGGGGCACACACACGCCACACACGCGCGTGCACACCATCAACCTGCTTCAACACACGCGTCGTACTTACACGCTTCGCACTTACACGCGCATGGTGCACACACAGACGCTCACACACGTCGTCACACACGCACTCACCGCTTGTATACAGGGACGTCACACACGGCGGGCACCACAGCGCGGGCATCCTACACCCGCGGCACGTACACACCGCACAACGCACTCACACGCTCGTATACAGACGACACAGGCACGCGCGGGGCACAACACGCCACGCAGACGCTCGCATCACAACACGTTACCGCGTCGTACTAAACACACGCACACACGCGCTCCGATATCAACGCACGCTCCATCACAGACGCTGCGGGCGCACACGAACACACGGCTCGCTACTAACAAGACGCTCGGGCACAACGCTCAGTACTCACAGCGCGCGCCAAACAACGCACGTGCGCACACACCAACACGCACACCATCACGCCTCGTAATATACACACATGCCACACAGACGCCGGCGGGCACACCACACGTCGTACAAACACGCGCGGACACCACACGCAACAACATGCCACACAAACGCGCGGACACACACACGCGCACACACACACTCGTACTCCACGTCGCAACACACGCTGCACCCACACACACACACAACGCACACAACGCTCGCACACAAGACGCAGGCGGGCACACACACGCTCGTACACACCGCACACACACGCTCGCAACACACACACCACGCACACACACGCTCGCACACAGACGCGCGACACACACACGCATCGCACTCACACGGCGCGGTGCGCACACACGCTTCGCGAGCAACAACGCGCGGACACGCACACGTCGCATTCACACGCGCGGGCGCACACCGCACACACACCACACCACACACACGCTCGCTATTACAGACGCGCGGGCTCAAACACGTTCGTTACTCACAACAAACACGCTGTACTCACACACGCACACACACGTCGCAGTCACACGCGCTTGGGCGCACACGAACGCACACACTACGCCAGAGACGACGCGGGGCAAACAACGCCTCGTACCACGCTCGTAACGCACACAGGTCACACATCACGCAACACACGCTGTACTGCAAACACGCACACAAATAACGCGCGCGGCGCACACACGCTGCTATCACAGACGCGCAGCCACACACCGCCGTTCTCAGGGGACGAGCGCCACACACGCACACACACACCACACAACAACACACACATTACACGCACACACACGATCGCAACACAGACGCGCGGGCCACAACGCAGCGCCAACCACGCTAGCACCACACGCACGCGCGCACACAAGACCTTCGTACTCAAGAACGCTCGTACTCACACGCTGGTACTTACACGGCCGGGGGCACACACACGCTCGTACCTTACACGGCTCAGTACTTACACGACGCGGGCACACACACGCTCGGCAGCACGACGCCACACACGCTACGCAGCGCTACGCACGCACGCAAACACCACACGTATTACAAAGGATCGTGAGCGGGCGTACCGCCTCTTAAGATCGTGTCACCTACTACGCTTGCCCGCCCATCTCAAAGCGAAAGCGCAACCCGCATAGAGGCCTTGCCCAATAAATGAGATTTTTGTATTCTCGCGTGTTACATTAGAGCTGCTAAATAGTAGTCAGAGGTAATTCGCAATTAATATGCAGCAAAACCTCTGAAAAGATGCCAATTTTACTACCGTATTTAACAATGCGTACTACATGGCGTCGAACAATTTGGACGGACTTCGGATGGTTTTCACCAAACACACACGCGCGACGCGTTAATATATAGTATTTTATTATATAATATATATATTATATATATACAATACATTCATACCATATATATTAAATATATATTTATAATATACAATATGTAACGAGCTGGTTCCGAGTCACACCCGCGCCCAAATATACATCAATAAATAACGCAGGTATACTCTGCGAGACGGGATATGCTGATATATGATACGCACGGTTGCTTCACACACACACGCACACCACACGCCACGCACACGCATCAAGCACACGCAACGCGCACGCGCACGCGCACACGCACACGCACACGCACACAAGCTAGGTACATAAAGAATATATTTGCATATAAGCTACGAGTATAAGCTCCTATATATGCAGTATGGATAGCGTTGCAGGAAGGGTCAGTGGGGATTCTGGACCCATGGCTGAACGCTCCATGGGTGGATGTGATACACGTTCACACGAGACGAGAACGAAAACCGATCCAACTGCTGATCTATACCAACGCAGCAGCAGCAGCAGCCGAGTAAGACAACAAGGCACTTCTTATACAATCCACATCTCCGTACAGCCAACAGAGATACTCTACGACAGAAATGTAGACGTCCCCCCGAAGCACCAGCGCTGCCGTCCGCTCAATTCACAACGACGTTTGCAGTCAGTCTACGGGCAGCGTTCACACACAATAACACACGTAAGAGCGGCGGTGTTTTTTTGGCACGACGCCAGGTGATAAGATAACACCATGATAACAGGCCAATAAACCCATTCGGGCCGATTCAACTACTGCGTATCTCTGGTTCGCAAGAACGCTCCAAGGGCAGCAAAGAAATGATGTTTCTCGTGCTAGACTTCGTCTGTTGACAGCAGGGCCACTCCGTGCGGGCATGGCAGGAAGCCAGCAGCAGCCTGGCCGCTAGCAGACGCCCGACGGTGCGGCCTGCATAGCGAGCTCTCCTAGTATTTGCTTACGGCTGCGTTCACTGCACTCGTGGCTCTGACAAGCCGTAACGTATGATCACTGAACAAACACACGCTGCTAACATGCCGACAAAGTTTATTTGCCTATAAACATTTTTACATAACAAAGTAGTAAAGGGTGCACGCGCTCGCGCGCACGAATCGACCTATGTACAAGCAATATAATGCGAGTAATGGTAACAAATGTATTACAAGCAGTGAAATCGCTTATGTATTCGTATCGCTGAACGATAATTGCATGTATCCAACTCTATTGGCCTAATCAAAACCACATTGAATGCAAACTTTTAATCTATTGCCACGCATGCGCTGACAGGGTCAAACCAAAAAGGTTTGGTACCATCTCAGGTCACTGTGCGATGCTTCCGCATGGAGCCAGTTCCGAGTATTAATCGCTTGAATATGGCTTCATCTCGCTTTGAAATTGGAACCAGTTCCGAGTGGAGACTGCTTGAATGTGGCTTCATCTCGTCTTGTTCGAGTTCCGAGTGGACACTGCTTGGATATGGCTGCTTCAGCTTACACAGCATCAGTACCGGCTCAAAATGGAGACAATTTCTTCGGCTAACACTCCGACGACCTGTCCTGACCTCGGACTGCGTCATCGGGATAATGGACAATATAATCGTTTGATTAAAATCTTCGCCTTATCTTCCGCTGTCGCTAGTCAAGAATGTAATTTATCGCGACCGGCGCATGTACTCAGAGCGACGGGAAGCGACGCGCTGATTCAGATCTGCTAAGCGCACGCAACGAAGAACGCGCAACGTAGAACACGCACGCTCGAAGATGGCGTGCTGAAAATGTACACAGCTAAATTTCCCTACGCAATGCCATAATGGTTGCAGCTAAACAGCATTGCGATTAAATACCTTGAATTGTTCGCGATGCCGGCTATGACACTGATAAGACTGTCACCATTCGTCTTCAGCTGCACGCCGAGTGCAGAGTTGGATGTGACGAGGCGGCGCAGTACATGCAGAATGGTCTTGCATCTGTGACTGTCGCCGACGAGCAGGGCTTGTCGATAGCTCTCCTGCCACCAGCGAGCGATGACAAACGTCGTAAAACAAATGCCAAGTCACTAACCACTTAAAAACGACAATAGTACACAGTGCGCAAATACGCAAACGTACATTATACTTATACATTATATTTATATTCATATATATACTCGCATACTGCACACACAAAATAGCACACAGCAACACAACAGCATAACAATAGTATAGAAAGACCAGCTAGATCAAACATGCGACAGAAAGAGTGAACGATGGTAAAACAGTGGTAAGCACAGCTCTACATAACACACCGTCAGCTATATAAAGTGCTAACGTTCGTCGACAATCAAACATAATTCGCAAAGGAAAGCAAACAGGGATAGGCGCCGTGGTAACGAAGCCATAGTTGGGATCTAATAAGTGAGAATGCAGCTGCAAGCCACTAAGGACTAATGAGTTTCTCACCAGGCAGTCGGCCGAGAAGGCGCGTTCATACTCGCCCCCATATAGCTGCACCAGCAACGACAGATCCTTCAGGGAAGCCTCCTGTAGCTCCCCATCTCCGCAGCACAGCTGTAAGGCAAACACAGGTGACGCTCTTGTGTTTAACGACAGGTGAGGGGTAAACGCGTCGCTAATTTGCACGTCGATTTGAAACGTCGCCTTCACAGCCCCTCCTCCCAAGAAATTAGACACAGACGTCGAATACAGCGCGGATTTCGTTAAATGGCCGGGGCTATGGTTTGCGTTTACTGTAGAATTTTATAGCGTCGTTACGATACCAGGCGGGTAAGACGTCCCGTGAGGCTGACTAATGGTCTGTGAGTGACGAGCAGAGCTTCAGCTTCTTGTCTTTCGCTCGCTTCCTCTCCTCCTCCGTCCCTCTTCACCTAGGCAAGACGGCAGCACAAAGGTACGAGTGAACGCCGCGGTATGCGTGCATTGCTTGTTGCCGTTGCCGATAATTTTATAGCGTTATCAGTTAAACATATACGGACGAGTCACTCTCCCGACACAGCAATGCCGTGATAAAATCAAAGCAGATCGCAAAGGTATTTACGATCTTAGACGTTGCCACAATGCCATACCTCACAAAGCATCGCACATAAAGGGCACACCTACAACACCGCACATAGAGGGCACACCAACAGCACCGCACATAGAGGGAGCACCTACAGCACCGCACATAGAGGGCGCACCTACAGCACTGCACATAGAGGGCGTACCTACAACACCACACACAGAGGGCACACCTACAACACCACACATAGAGGACGCACCTACAACACCACACATAGAGGGAGCATCTACAACACTGCACATAGAGGGCGCACCTGCTGCACCGCACATAGAGGGCGCACCTACAACACCACACATAGAGTGCACACCTACAACACCACACATAGAGGGCGCACCTACAACACCACACATAGAGGGCGCACCTACAACACCACACATAGAGGGAGCACCTACAGCACCGCACATAGAGGGCGTACCTACAACACCACACATAGAGTGCACACCTACAACACTACACATAGAGGGCGTACCTACAACACCACACATAGAGGGCACACCTACAACACCACACATAGAGGGAGCACCTACAGCACCGCACATAGAGGGCGCACCTACAGCACTGCACATAGAGGGCGTACCTACAACACCACACATAGAGGGTGCACCTACAACACCACACATAGAGGGAGCACCTACAACACCACACATAGAGGGAGCACCTACAGCACCACACATAGAGAGCACACCTACAGCACCGCACATAGAGGGCGCACTTACAACACCACACATAGAGGGAGCACCTACAACACCACACATAGAGGGCGCACCTACAGCACCACACATAGAGGGCGCACCTACAACACTGCACATAGAGGGCGCACCTACAACACCACACATAGAGGGTGCACCTACAACACCACACATAGAGGGCGCACCTACAGCACCACACATAGAGGGCGCACCTACAGCACCGCACATAGAGGGCACACCTACAGCACCACACATAGAGGGCGCACCTACAGCACCGCACATAGAGGGAGCACCTACAACACCACACATAGAGGGAGCACCTACAGCACCACACATAGAGGGTGCACCTACAACACCACACATAGAGGGCGCACCTACAACACCACACATAGAGGGCGCACCTACAACACCACACATAGAGGGCGCACCTACAACACCACACATAGAGGGCGTACCTACAACACCACACATAGAGGGAGCACCTACAACACCACACATAGAGGGCGCACCTACAACACCACACATAGAGGGCGCACCTACAGCACCGCACATAGAGGGCACACCTACAACACCACACAGAGGGAGCACCTACAACACCACACATAGAGGGAGCACCTACAACACTGCACATAGAGGGCGTACCTGCAGCGCGGTGCGTACGACCTTGCAGAGCGACCTCAGCATGCCGCCTCTCACAGCGAGGAGGTCAGCGAGCGTGGCGGCATAGCTGTCAGCGTTCACCTCACCTTCCTTCTCCTTCTCCAGCAGGCAGGCAGTCAGCCTCTCTCCCAGCGCACGCACACACTCCACAAGACCTGCCGCGCGAAATCATCTCGTGAGATAATGCTGTGGGGGGGGGGGAGTTCGCTTCAGCGGTGCGAGGAGGAAGAAATGTTGGGTCGAGCGCCAAAATCGAGAAAATTTTCATGTACTTGTGTTTTCACTACTAACGGTTACAGATTGTGTTTACGATTAGGAACAGGAATTACAGTTAGAGTTCCGTTCAGTTACACAGTTTTTACTCTGCTAGAAAAATTGGGCAGGGAAGGGTGGCCTGACCCATAAAACTCGAATACCGGGTGGATACGGAGAGCAGTGTAGTGTTGACGTACCATGTTCGTATAGGCTAGCAGTAGCAGGGTTTGGATAGAGGGGCAGTACACAAGCGACGATCTTGAGAGAGTTGTGAATGACAGCACCGCACGGCTTGTTCGAATTCTCCTGCAATACAAGGAAACAATCACGACTCTACGTGAGGGAAACCACTTGTTACTCGCCGCGGCTTGCGCTCAGGTAACCCATAGGATTCCTTAACCCCGCTAAACATATGTATCGGTCATCGTCATTCGTTGTTAGAGGTGTAACGATACATTATGGTCACATTACAATATGTATCCCGATACACAGACAGAAAGATAATATATATAATATCAAGAGCGTATAAGAAGGAAAGCGTACAACGGTGAAATGTTGAAACCATGTTGCAGTATTAGTCGAATTAATAAACTTTCC